TTTGTGACTGTTTGACACTGAGTGCACCTGGTCCCACTGAGTGCAACTGGTCCCACATCTTTGTGACTGTTTGACACTGAGTGCACCTGGTCCCATGGCTTTGCAACAGCTTTGTTGGCACTGCTGAGTGCACCTGGTCTCACGGCTTTGTGACTGCTTTGCTGGCACCAAGTGCCCCTGACCTCTCGGCTTTGGGACTGCTTGGCTGGCACTGAGTGGACCACCTGGTTCCACGGCTTTGTTTTGGGACTGTTGGGCAGTGAGGGCACCTAAATCACCTGATTGGGTTTGGGCCTCACTGGAGAGAAACAGAGTCCCCATGAAAAAATTGCTCTCAAACTCCACACCCGCACACCGGAAAATGGGCACAAAGAAGATTGTGATGTGCTGTCACATTGAGAATGGACGAGAACATCAGAAATGCTCAGTAATTTACATGCACCTGGACGGTTGCATGGACAGGTTCATTGAACGTCATTCATCCCAACCACAACGAGGTCATTGAGACCCTTGCACAGAGTACAGCAGAGAATAGCCCACACACTTTCACCCGCAGCAAAAAGGATTAAGGATGGCTATCTGGAACCACCACATATTTTCTTCGGGACATCCGTCAAAACAGGAACGATACACAGAATATTTTTTTAGCATGGCCCATGCACAAGGATGGCACAGAAAGGCAAAACAAAACAAAAAAAGAAAAAGAAAAAAAAAAGCCACATGTCTCCCTCCATCTCTGCTGCAACTGCTTGACTTGGTCAATCAAATCGTTTACCCTGCCACAAAACATAAAAAAAAAAAAAAAAAAAAACCTGCTGCGAACTTCTCATCTTCTTTCATGATCTTTCAAATTCTTTCAATTCACCTTTTCACTTACCTACCTACCACAGCCTGGCGGCTGCCTCACAAGGTTTTTCTAGAAATTCTTTCAGAAGAAATTGCTTGTACGACTACTCCTAAGGCTTATACAGGGCCCCCTGCGAACATAGCTTTGTTGTCTCCGTCCAGCCATTGCAACTAAAAGAGAAAAGAGAAGGAAAAACAAGTGTGGGGAATACTGTTCCAGGACAAATCACGTGAATGACTCGATAGTCATGAACGTCTGGTTTATGACTTTGTTTCCTCTGGTGCACTTTCTTTTTTTTTTGTGAAAGGAAGGTGCATTCTTCTCTCAATTTCACCTCACACTACCTACCTACCCTCTGGCGCACCATAC